TGTCCATTTTTTTAATTTTATAATAAAAGCAATTATTTTAAAAATGATGTAAATAAAACACTCAAGAAACAAATGTAAACAAACAAACAGCTGTTTACAATTCTGTCAACCATTCACAATAGTACAAATTTTTATCGATCAAGTTACACAATAGCAAAATAAAAGATGATCGACTCGATCGACAAATTTCTATTCTACTGCCAGTCGACACTCGCAATAGGGGTCGTTATTAAATTCGCCTTGATACATGTCATTGTGGTTTTTGTATTGTTGCTATCGCCTTGTACGAATACGCCCAAGGCGAATTTAAACAAGGGGGTGTTGATGACGAATTTAGATTTTCGCCGCGGTACTTAATGCCAAAATGATGTGTTTGTTGTAATATGAATTCGCCTTGCTTACAACAAACACATCATTTTGACATTAGAAAGTACCACGGCGAAAATCTAAATTTGCCATCAACACCACCTTGTATAAATTCGCCTTGAATACGCCTCTGTTTAGCACGAACGCTTTTCCTACACCAGAACAGACCTAACAGGCTTTAATTGTGTACTAGTGGAGATATGAAGAAGAAGAATATAATTTTGTTTACCTGAATTCTTTTGTCTCTACCGATTAAACTTTATTCAATTTGGAAAAGTAATAAACCGTAAATCATAATCGTTTTAAAAATGCCGTATTGCTGTGTGCCTGGTTGCGAAAGAATCAAAAGAGCTAACAATAGACGTTTCTTGTTTAACTTTCCCAAAAAGGAAGAATTATTGCAAAAGTGGCTTGAAGCAATACCAAGTCTTGAGAGACCAATAAAAACTTCATGCCGGGTGTGCCAACATCATTTCGAACCTAATGACATTCTAGGAGCATACAGTCACACAATTGGCGGAAAAAAGTATCTTATAGAAAGGGAGAGAGCAAGATTGAAACCAAACGCTGTGCCCACCACAAATTTAGGAAATGTGAGTATTGCAAATACATCGCATATATGTATGTATGTACATATGCAATATGATGCATATGTACCAGCTTTGATTAATAAATAATTTTTTAATAGTCTTTACCAGTGAATGGAAAAATAAAATTAAAACGTGGCAAAACGGCCGGTAAAGCAAGTACCTTACATAAAGACGAGATCGCATCTGACAACAATGGTAAACCACCTCGCATTCCCGAAACGGTTGAAATTTTGAAAGTTGAACAAATATGTGAAGAGATACATAAAGATGAAATCACCTCTCACAACAATGGTAAACCACGTCGGATTCCCGAAATGGTTGAAATTTTGGAAGTTGAACAGATATGTAATGGAAATAATGTAATCCTATGTTCGCAGCAAATAAGGCAGTCAGATATTGAAAAACCAGAAAACTCTTACGAAGGCATAAAATTACATTGCGATGATTTTACGATCGCCGATGACTGCGGTAACAGATCAAGTGCTCGCAATAATGTTGACATCTTACAAGTACCAGAAATCGAAGGTAGTAATCTTAGCGCAAACCGAACAAAATCTCCAACATCAACAGCCAGCGAATCTTTCGACCTTTTTGATAGCGTTTTCGAAGTGGTTTTACCGACCACACTCTGGGGTGTACATCGCTCCCCTAATCAAAAACGTATAATGTTCGTATGTATAGATGAAGAGGAACTAAATATAAACAAAATGTTGACCGTCAACGACACAGGTGAAATCAAAACATATTTAGCAAAGCGATTGATCAGCGAAGAATGCTGGCCGACAAACGATCTAACTCCAGAGCGCATTTCAGAAATGCTGGAAGAATTAGATGTAATGCAAATATGTTTAGGAGCCGCCTTCTCTGAAAATTGTGAAATTGTGCTTAAAGGTATTGATAGTGATGAAAAGAGGGGAACGCGGCTATGTATAAGATGCATGCATGGCGAATTTATATAAGGTGGTGTTAATAGCTCAGCTGATTTTGTGTATGTGTTTCGCCGCACGGCTTCTGATATCAACCCTGCAAACCAAAGTTCCCGAAATCTTAAGGAAATCGTTAGGAGGATCTGATTTCTGTAACGATTTTTTTACGAATTTTCAAAGAAAATTATATGAAGGGGTTGACACGAACTCGTAAAGAAATTTTTGTACAAAATATAAAGAAAATTCTGGAAAAATTCTGAAAGATATTCTTCACATAGCAGCATTATTTTCGTTGCTTCACAGATTTTCTTCCGAAATTTCGTAAAAGAATGGAAGTGTGCGTAATTTATTTCATTTTAGAAAATTCGACAAAAAATCGAATTAAATCTTAACGAATTCTTTAAAATTTCTTTACAATGCAGAATACTCTGAAAAAATGGTTTGCAGAGAAATTGAAAAATTTTGTTTGAATTTCTACACACACTTAGAGATTTTGACAGTTTATGCCGCCAAAGCAAAAACAAAATACATGTAAATTTTTGTTTTTGTACTCCTGCAATCACCTTATATTAATTCGCCTTGGATGCATGTAATTTAAAACAATTAGAATCGTACGAAACTATGTATGTATATTCAATCAATTTTAAAATGTGGAGTGTTAAGAAATATGTTAAAGTGTCAGATATAAAAGTTAAAATAAAAATAAAATAAAATATATAAGGCATATAAAACAACGCCCAAATCTTGCATAAAATTATTCTTAAAAGGTTAATCTAGTAAAATAAAGATATGTAATTATAACAAAAGGGGGCCGCTACAATTTATTTTCCGCTGCTAGGCACTTTTAATGCTGCAAATTCAGTACTTAAAATCTTCATAACTTCGGCATGTTTGAGATCGGGACGTTTGTATTGCTTATAGTTTTCCTTAACAAACTTAGCAAAACCTGTTGGTTCGCGAACTGGTGTAGGCAAAATATTTCCCTCCTTATCTTTTTTATTTAAGAATATCTCAATAGCACCATGGCAATAGGAGCATCTAATATTTTCCACTTTCTTCGATTTGGAATGAGCATGTGACCTGTAAAATTGTGTGTGTGTTTTATACGTATTCAGTATACACATGTGCATGCGGAAGCTCCATAACAAAACGCAATATATAATTCATACTAATATTTTTTTGAAGTTTTGAAGAAACTAGTTCAACCTATTAAAATATATGTACTTGTCTTCACAAGTAGTAAAAAAAAAAATGATTTTTAAAAATATTGTTCAAACCACAATAATATAAATATCTAAAGTACGCAAAATAGCGGAAGTTATTTGCACGTGACGGAAATCTTAAACTAATTACACAATAAGCATAATTTTTTTTCAAATTTGGACATTAAAAAATACTCGAGTCATTACGTATAAAAAAATAGTCGATAAGGATGGTCGATAAGCTCGATTTTTTTAACATTTTTTGTCATTTCAATGTAGCATTTTCCTAATTATCTACATGACATTATCTAGGAAACTACCAAATTTAAATTTGTTGTCTTTTTGTTATGGAACTTTTCATATGTAATTTTTTTTTAATTAACGTACTTCGCCCCGCATAGAGTGCACTTATAAGTATATTTATACTCAATGTCGTACTGATGGCACACGCCAATTTTGGGTATTTCCGGAAAAATATGATTGGCTTTCAATGCCCTAGAAATGAGGTTAAGATAAATTTAACGATTTTTTAAATGTAGGCATCTTAATTATACACAAAAGTTAAAATTATGTGAATGGGATTTTCATAAATTACCATTGTTTCCAAGTGCTTCCATGACCACCCTCACCATTGAATATCCAAGTTGCAGCGTGACATAATTCGTGAATTAAAGTACACCGCAAACGATCTGCACTTGTAAGTACCTTTTCACTCAGTTCGACTAAACTCGTTCGCACGCCCATTCTGTATGGAGGAAAAAAACATTTTTGCGCATTAAAATACATACGTTGTATATCGTTGTTTAAAGTACAAAATCGCGTATCGTGGTTCGGCCAAACCTCTTAACTGACACTTGTGCCAAAAATGAGATTTACCCAACGGAAGCTCCTGACATCAAGCCTTCATACATCATTCATACCAAAATATCGATATTTATATAAAACAGCTAGATATATTTAGGGATAAATGAGAGAATCGTTTTGAAATAAGACAGGTTTTACTCTCTCTCGCAAAATTTTGTGAACAGCACATACGCAGATTTGCATTCCCTTGATACGCGGTTTTGTACTTTAAACAACGATATGCATTAATTTTTATAAGAACACCATTTAATTTTAATTAATTTATAAATATGTGTACATACTTTTTCTTATTTAGGCAACGTCCAGCTGTATTACAAAGTTTTTTGTTCCATTCTATCGGGACTTTCAACTTGTTTTGAAATAATTTTGTATTATAAAGCTCGTATAGCAGCTTGGCCAATTCTTCCTTCTTAGTTCGATAATTTTCACGATAACATAACGCATCTGGATGACAAAGTGATTTGGCAACACACACTGGCAATAAGCACATATTAATATCTTTTTTTCATTAGTTAAAGTACAATTCCAGCTATTTACCATCAAGGGATTTGAGAAATCCGTATTTATACTTAGGTGTAGGGCCAATTTGATCTAACAAGTTTTTTCTATTATCTCTTAATGTCCTTGTCTCTTTTGAGGTTTCTAAAATTTAAATACAAATATATTTTTAAGCAATGTAGACATACTATTTGTTTTAAAAGCATAAGACAGCATTTTTTAGGGGTTTACATTTGGTTATGTGGTTATATTTAAAACTCAGTTTTTACATACGTATGTACGACCCCGGGCCTTATGCCAGAAACATGAATGTGTAAAAATAAAAATCTTGGGAAATCAAGTTTGAAAGTTTTTTAAGGTATTTAACTCATGTGTAAATTTGTACATTCATGCTTCCAGCATGAGGCGGACGGTGTGTAAGTACGTTTGTATGGGTCAAATCTTGTAATTAGTTTTTGACCCACTTCTCGTTGACCTAGAGACTTGAAACTTCACACTTGGCTCAGAACCCGATGACAATGCAATGTGAAAGATAACGGATAGATGGCGCAGGACTCGAGATATTTGAAAAACCCTTATTTATAGACCGATTTGGTTCATATTGAAAGAACAAACTCTACACAAAATTTGGCCGGTAGGTGGCGCAGGGTTCGAAATATTTCCAAAACCTACATTTATGGCCTGATTTATTTTATATTTTTACATTTTATCTGGCACAGGAGTCGAAATATTTGGGAAAACAGTATTTATGCTCCAATTTAGTTCATATTTAGAAAGCTTGTGTATTTTATAAATTATCTTCTTACATCCATTAACGGATCGCAGCTTGTTATTTGATTTTCTCATTTCATATTCAGCGCTTCAACCTGCCTCAATTAAAAAAAATTAAAAAAATATATATCAAATATCGTGCGCTGGAGGAACAGGCATGTAGTACACGAGTGAAACCACCGCTGCAAGCAGCGTCTGGAACATAATTACATGTACAATGTATACATATACTACATGAGCAAATTTGCTAAAAATTTCTCTGTATAATTTAAAGTATATCAAAAGCATATATGTACTCACAGTCATTAGATTAGCAGACCCTTTTGATCCTCAGTATGTAAAGTTTTCCCTTAACTGTACATACTGAGGATCAAAAGGGTATGCTAATCATAGACTGAATAAAGATGAATAATAATAATAATATTAATGACTGGGAGTGTATTTTAAAATATAAAAACTATAAACATACCTGTTGATTTAGGTGTAGCTGGAGCCCGTGGTGGTGTTAATTTGAAAACGGGATCTCCTCGTTTTATGGCTTCTAAATGTTTATTAAATATAGCAAAACTACCCGATGAACCATTATTTAGCTTCACTTGTTCAATTTCTTGCAAAATCACTTCTTCGTCAATTTTTGTTGCTGACCTAACAGGTGTACGAGGTTGCACACCATCTTCACCAACCGTTAAGTCAACATCCTCTTCGCCAAAATAAGCAGTAAATAATTTTCGTTTCGATTTACCACCAGTACCTGGAGTGGCTGGCAATTTTGACTTGTCGGTAGCCTTACAGGTACGCAAAATGTCCTCCAAATGAGTGTTAAACTTGGCATCTGGATAAGGAAAAGAACACACGTAAAAAAATCATTGCGAATCCAGTTCTATTAAACAAATATTCACGGCTATCAGTGGTTAGTTTTGAAGTTACCATTATTTGCTGGAGGAGATGTCGGTTCACCCTCTTGTATAGTCACTTCATCTTTAGATAAATCTAAGTATACCAAGGCGTCCTTAGATTTCGGTTTTCCTAGTCGACGTCCTGTGGAACTAGCCTCTTCTCTGCGATTGGAATTGTGTTGTTGTTGTTTTTTACCTTGCGTTTTATTGCTTTTCTTTGGTAGTGGGATTTCATAGTCATTTCCATCGCTATCATCAGATGTGATACTCCACTCTGAATCTTTATCGATTTCATTTTCTTTATTACCACCCCTGTAATCAGGGGTTTCTGTTTTGTCTAATGTGTCATCGTCGGAAGCATTGTCACCTGACGTCTCACTGCTCTCATCCACTATTTGTCGCCAACGCTCAGCTGAGGCCACGTTATTTTGTTTTCGTTTAGGCGAACATTTCTTCTTGACCTCGGTTTTTGGAACTTTAAAATCGTGCTGTTTATTCCGCTGAGTTATAAAGCGCGGTTCGCTACTGAAGTTGTCATATACAGCTGGTGTTCTGGTTTGGTTCTTGTCTTGCTTCGGTGTAACGAAGCGTGTAGAATCCAAATTCGTACGTACAATGTCGCGACGAACTGTAAATAAATATGCCTTTATATTCAAACGCCAAGCTTACGGTTTTACCTACAAATAGAGAAATCATCCAATATACTTGGCTCGACACTTTTATCCATTAACTTTTCACAGCTAGAAGGCTCAATGTTTTGTTTCCCATTACTATCGAATTTTGTTCCTGTAAATGAAGTCGATGCCTTAGAAGTTGTGGGCGATGGGGTGCCATCTGTTTTTTTAGGGGTACGGCTGGTACGTTTAAGGGTGCGTATCACTTCCGGCGTTTTCCACGACATCCCATATATCTGGTTGAGAAGCCTTTCTGCGTGAGTGAGGAACATCGCTTCTTCCTCTTCTTCGGAGTTTATATTTTCGCTGTTATTTTCCTCTGTCGCATTGGCCGGATGTAATCTGCTTCTATCTTGCCTCTGTTGGTCGCACGTCGCTTCCAATAGTTCGTTGTTAACAATTGTTGTTGTGCTTTTATTTTTTTCATCTTCCTGAGCTTTATCAACCAAACTACCGTCACTATTTACTTCAACTGATTCTGCATTGACATTTTCACATAACTCTTCTGAGCTATCTAACTGCGATATGGAAATTTTAATGTTGATCTTTGCGGATATATTAATGCTACTAATCTCTACTTGTGGCGATATTTGGACATTCGCTGAATCTGAAAATCAATGTTAATCATAGTATAAACGGAGCATTTTTACATAAAAATCCATTTCCCAATACTTACTTGTAGTTTGACTATCTTCAGCATTCCCTTCTCTACTACTACATCTGCTCTCATGAAATGAAGGGTTACTTACATTTTCACTAGATGTCTCAGAAATTACAACTGAATCTTCGGGAACATCCAGCTTAACAGAGTCTGAGATAAAGCTTTGCTCGCTAATAACCGTGGAATAGTCGGCCTCCTGTTTTTGTGTTTCAGCTAACCAATGATCTTTGATGTACCGCGAAGTGGATGTGTTAACCTGCGTCTCATCATTTGCTAAACGACGAGGGTCTTCATTATTTTCTCTAATATTTTGAGTACTTGGGCTGGCCGATACACGAAAAGGATTTTCCTCTGACAAAGTTTCTCTCTCGGCATCTTGTTCCCGCTTTTTACTTAATATGTTGACATATTCCTCTGATCTCCGATAATCTGTGCTACAAGTAGTCATGGATTCAGTATCAGCATATGCCAGTCCGCCCAATTGTTTATTGCCATCTTCTACTTTAACACTTTCTTTAGAAGCATGTAAATCAATATCTCTGTGCAAAGTGCAATTATCGTCATATACTTCTTTATTTTCTTCCAATTCTCTACGCTGCTGTGATACGTCACGTAAAAAAGCTTCCATCCGGTCTGCCTTTTCGTTACTGAAGGTGTTCGGGATTAAAGCGTCTCCTGTATGACCACTTTCTGGTATTTCGGATGTCATACAATCAAACTCCAAGAAGCCCGAAACACTACTATCAGTTACAGTTATTGCACTGTGGCTATCTTCAGTAGATGATAGCGATATACATACAGACTGTCGGGATTCTATTTTATGAACTTGCTCTTCGTCTTCAGGATTTATGGGCAGAGTACGAAGACGGTTTGGTAGGTACTCGCAACTCATTCTCTGGCTTTCAGTAGACATCAATAAAGTACTTTCATGAGCTATGTTATCATTCCTATTTACATTCAAATCTTTTGCAGTCACGGCCATTACAGACAC